GGTCTGTTTGGAGGGGCGTGGGGGGTGTCGAGGGCCCCAGCCCTGCTCGCCTGCATGATCATGTTTTGGAAGGTGAGGACGCCCTTGGTGCCGACCAGCACCGATGACGTCACGTTGTCGAGATCCATGATCTGGTCCGCGAGGTGCGAGGTTGAGGGGTCCGAGGTTGAGGGATTGAGAGAGGCGTGCGGCGAGGCGCAGGGCGCGGGCGCGACCGCTACGGCTGAGGCCGGAAGACCCCCGGCGGGGACCGAGCCCGGGCCAGTGCGTATGTGCAGCGCGCGCGCGCTCGCCACCCTCAGCGCCTGGCGCGGCACTCCTGCTGAAACGGCCCACGGGCCAAATGATCACCCCTTCCCCCTTGCACGCGAGCCCGGCCTCGATCAGCAACCCCCGGCAGCCAGTGCGACCCCGGGGCCGGGCGGTGCCGCAAAGGCCGGCGGCGCGGGGGCGTCACCGGCGCCCGCGCCCGCCACCCACCCGCGGGGGGCCGACGCACGACTGGTAGGTGACGGGGCGCGTCAGCAGCACGGGGTTGCGGTACGTGTTGACGAGGCGGTCTAGTCCGATATCGTGGAAGACGTGGACCTTGGAGAGCCAGGGGTTCTTGAGGGAGTCCTTGAAGGTGTAGGGGCTGAGGAGGGGGAAAAGGGCGGAGGAATCCGACGGATTGGTCAAAACGCTGGATTGTCAAATCAACTACTTGATGATTTGGCCAATCAGCGGATTTACGGGGTGGTGGATGCTGTATCGGGACGCCGAGGTGCTGAGAGAAGCGGCAGCCGAGCGGCGAGGCGAGGGCTGCCGGGGGGTGGATAGGCGGGGTGGCGGTGTGCCCTAAGGAGAGAAGGGGCAGCGGCCTCCCAAAAACAGCAATAATGAGCCACACAGCACGTGCTCATGCATACGGCGTTACATGTGAGAGCGCTCGAGCGCGCCAACATCCAGGCGGCCAACGCCTATATCTCTCAGATCTCAGATCTGATGTGATCTCGAGATCGCACCAGTAGACCAGCTGCTCGTTCAGGGGATTGTCGCTGCCGAAGCAGCCCGCCCAGTCCAACGGGATGTAGCACTCCTGGGGGCAGGGGCGGGGAGCGGGGCCGGGGCCGGGAAGACGCAATCGGCAACTAGTCGCGGCACAGTCAGACGGGAGCGCAAGGCGCGATCAGACGGGAGCGCAGGGCACGATTCTACAGGTTTTGATCGGGTGATTTGGTGCCGACGGGCCGAAAGTCGGGCATTCCAAAGGAGCAGGGGCTGACAGCTCTGATGTCAGGACACGGGCAAGAACGCGCGGCCCCCTGCGCTCGGCTGGCATGTAACCCCCAGCTTTCGGCCAGGACGGCCCGCCGCCGGCCCCTCGCCGACCTGGATGGACCCGACCGCGGCCACGCCGAACAACTTGATGTTGTACACGGCATCCAGCCCCGGCGTGAAGCCTGCGCGGCCGACCATGTTTTGGAGCGCGGGCGGGGAGCCGAGCGTCGAAGAGTGCCTGCGGGCGGCGCGGGGGGCGGCAGGGGGAGCGAGGGAGGGCAGGAGAGGTCTCAGGGGGATGCGGGGGCAGGGAATAGGAGGACGGCGTGCGCGGGGACGCGGCAGGAATGAAGGAGGGCGTTCTGCGCGACGTTCCGCGCGACGCAGCCCATGCGCCGCCGCTGCTGCTGCTGCTGCTGCTGCTGCCGCCGCCGCAGCAGCACCTGCCTCCGTGGCAGCCGCGGCTGCTGCCGCCGCCTCTGCTGCGCCCGCCGCTGCTGCTGCTGCCGCCGCCGTTGCCGCTGCTGCTGCTGCCACCGCTGCCGCTGCTGCTGCCGCCGCCACTGCTGCCGCCGTTAGTACTGCCGCTCGCAGCCGCCGCCGCCTGCCGCCGCTGCCGTTCGCTGCTGCCGCCGCTGCCGCTGACCGCCGCCCCTGTCCGCGCCCGCTGCCGTCCAACGCCACTTTCACCCACGCCTGCCCGCCCACGATCCAACAACTCTCAGAACCACCATTCCCACGACTGCAAAACTCCGAGGGGCTGCCCCGCTCATCCGTACCCGGGCCATGCTGATCCCCGATGAGTCATGAGACTCAGATCACGTTATCGCTCTCGCTCTCACCAGTAGGTGCCTGGCTGCTCGAAAACCCACATCATCGCCGGCTGGAAGTGCCACACCACCAGATTGTACGTCGCCCCGCCGCCCTTGCTCGCCACAAACGGCGTCGGGCTCGCCCACTGCACGCCGGGCGCGGCCATGAGCGCGGCGCGCCGCGCGGCGGCGCCCGCGCCCGCGGGGACCGGCGGGACTGCGTTGCGGAAGAAGACGCGGTTCCAGGAGACGGCCGCGCCGTCCTCTAGGATGAACTTGGGCGCGGACGCGTTGACGGCGCCGGACTGCGGGCGTGGGCGGGCGCGTTCGGAGGGGTTTGGGTGCGCGGGGCGCAGGGGCGCCGCGCCGGCTGCCCTTGGATGTGTTGCCAAACTGCAAGCCATACTGCAACCGCGGCGCGATGCACGCCGCGTGCCTAGCGCGACGTCCTGTCGCCAGACGCAGATGCACAAGGGCAAACATGACTGCCTCCTCCCCCCCTCCCACTGGGACAGGCGGTAGTGACAGCTGGCGGTCGCCATAGCGCAGGCGCGCGCGCGGCGCCGCGCGCTCTTGCCCACGCTTGGCGCGTCGAAGGGCTCTCCCCGCTCACCCTGCACTGGGCGTCGCACCAATCCAGGATGACGCGGAATGGGGACAGGATCAGCAGCGGCCGCGCCGGCCGCGCGGGGCCCCATCCAGTGGGCAGCACCATCGGCTTCATTATGTGGATCACCCCGTTGGTGCGCTCATTGATTGCCGCCAGCAGCTCCTCCGGTGTGGAGACCTCATCAGGGGCGGCGTCTGCTGCAGCAACGCGCAGCGCCGCGGCCGTGCAGAGGAGGAGCAGCAGCGGCAGCAGCAGGCGCCCTGTGGCGGCGCGCGACGCGCGCCGCCGCGGCGCGGGCGGGTGCGCGCGGGCCGCGGGGGGCGCCGGCGCGGGGCCTGCGTCCCTGCGGCCCATTAGGGCCTGGCTGGCGGCTGAACGCCCAGCGATTGCTGATGCTGCCCCGACGGGAGTGTCTCCTTCTCCTTCGGCTGCTGGGCGATCGGTGCCCCTTTGAGATGGGCCACTGTAAAAGGCAACACTAGAATAACACAGCTATCTGGCCGCACAGCACCTGTGGTGCAGACCGCGGCCACGCAAGGCACAAGGGCCACGCTGAGGCCAGACTCTGGTCGGGTGACTGACAGGTGTAAGATGTTGTGGAGCCCTGTGATAGCCTCACTCCACACTCCTCAAGGCCGTGCGCACCCGAACGACGAAGCAGGTGCACCGGCGCGGTGGTGTGAATTTCTAGTGGAGCACACGAACCCCGATTTCTCGGTATCCGGATAGAACACACTTGCAGTCATGGTCTGTTCGCAAAGCGACTCTACTGTACTTTGCCGCGGCCAAAAGCAGGTCGATTGCGCGCGACAGCGTCGCGGGTCGGCACTATTAGCGACATCGGCCGATCCCCCCCGCGTCCTACGGCGCCGATCGGACATCAGCAACCCCTGGTTGATCTTTGAGGCGTTGCAAAATATCAAACATCATGCAACCACAGACGCGCAGGCTTTCCAGGTGGCGTTTGCAGGGCTGTCCGCGATCGCAGAGGCCGACCACCGCCCAGAGGGGGGCCCGAGGACGATTACGTAAGCACCGATCAGCGGAGCAAGGAGGATACACCGCACAACACCCGCTCCTCAGTCGCGGGACAAACCATTCGGGCCCCTTTCCTACCATGAACTTCGGCCGCTCATTTTGCGGGCCCGCAGCGGCATGCCAGAGCACTTCACGATTGCGCGGCCAGCCACGCGCAGCCGCCCCCCCCCCC